TCTTCCAAGGGGCCCTGTCTATACAATTAAAAACATGTAAAACATTGCACATTAATATGGTATACATACAAATAAAACCGATATACAAAGTAACTAAAATTACAACAAGAAATACGAATACAATATATGAAATATTTAAAAAAAAAAAAAAAAAAAAAAAAAAAAAAGTTTAAGAATAAATATTGCAAATGAAAGAAGAAGAAGAAGGAAAAAAAAAAGTGTTTGTCAGAGGGCGTTTTGGATACTGAGAAGCTTGCATTGCCTCTTAAAGGACAATAGGGACACACTAACACGTACATTAGGAGAGAGGTTATTCCACATGAGTGACCCTTGGTAGTGAAGGGATCTTTTGAAATAATCTGTTCGGGGAGTTTTAATGAAGAGTGGAGATTGTGCAGAATGCCTGGTATAAATAGAAATCTTTCTCGGGATAACTATTGGCTTGAGATATAAAGGCGTGAGATTATTTTGAATTTTGTACATATTTAAACAAATTTGGTAATTAATTCTTTGACGTACTGATTGCCAGGAAAGTTCAGTCAACATAGTGATGTGAGGGGTAAAAAAATCAGCTTTAAGTATGAGTCTTGCAAAACGGTTTTGTAGTTTTTGAATTCTTGAAATATGACACATTGCACTTTGTCCCCAGATAATATTGCAATAATCGATGTGCGGTAAAAACAAACTATTATAAATCATTAACAAAATACGTTTCGGTAAAAGATATTGAATACGTCTGATATAACCAATAGTTCTTGATAACTTATTACATAATGTATTAATGTGGCAGTTCCACCGTAAGCAAGAGTCAATTATCAAACCAAGATATTTAAATTCATTAACCTGTTCGAGTTTGTTGGTGTTTACATACATTTCTAGTTTCTTATTTTTCACTTTAGATTGAGTTCCAATTAACATGCATTTTGTTTTCTTTACATTAAGGGTTAACCGATTATCATCAATCCATGCAAGGATTTTATTCAGTGCTAGCTGTAACTCTTTCTGGACAAGAGAACATGATTTCCCTCGACAAAATATAGCGGTATCGTCAGCGTACACACATAGTTTAAAAGAATTACCAAATTTAATATTACATGCATCATTAATGAATATAGAGAACAATAGAGGCGATATCATACTCCCTTGCGGGACACCTTTCGATATAGGTCTAAAATTGGAAAGACTATCGTTCACCTTAACACATTGTTCACGGTCATGTAAATAATTAGAAAACCAAATAGCCTCTGTTTCTTTTACACCATACGTTGATAATTTAGATAAAAGTAGTTCATGAGAAACAGAATCGAATGCACTTTTCAGATCAATGAAAACAACTCCGGTCACCAAGCCTTCTTCTATGTTACGTAACAAGTATTCATTTACATCAATTAAAACGCTATTTGTTGAGTGCAGTGGGCGAAAGCCAGATTGGAGTGAACTCAATAGTTCATTGTCAATAAAATACTTGTATAGTTGAGAATGTACAGCCTTTTCTAGAATTTTCATTATATGCGGAAGAACCGATATAGGTCTATAGTTAAAAATCTCTTGTTTACTCCCGTTTTTATATAAAGGGGTAACTCTTGCTTTTTTCCATTCTTTCGGAATACAACCTGTACGAAGGGAGGTATTAAAGATATGAGTGATTACTTCACAGATAAAAGCACCCCCTTCTTTCAAGAGGAATGGGTGTAAGGAGTCAAGGCCCGGTGATTTCTTTGTACTTAGACTATTCAGTTCTTTAAACACGTAATCTTCCGTCACATATTTAAACTTGAACGTTTCAAAAGTGCAGTGACTTTCTTCAGACGTATCACTGGATGAATCATCACTTTGAGGTGTAAAATGTTCATTAAACAAATTAGCAACTTTAAACGGTTCAGTTTCTATTTTATCAGTGACTGTATCGTGAATTGCTAATCGATTGTTATTAACAGAGGGGGAAAATTCTCTCAAAGTTTTCCAAGTATTTTTAGAGTTAGATTTATTGATATCGAATTGATGTAGATAATAGTCTTTCTTAAGTTTTTTATTCCAATTATTTAATTTATTCCTAGCAACTTGAAAACGTTTCCAGATGGACGTATCATTTTTATCTTTGTTACCATGTTTACCATCAAATCGCTCTTTAAGATAATCTCGTTCTCTTGAGAGAGAAATGTAATCATCAGTTATCCATGGGGAAGGGTTCTGTCGTTGCCTAACGGAAACTATAGGTGCATGCTTATCACAAAGTTTCACAAACAAATTTACAAATATACTCCATTTGCTATCAATATTAGTGGTATCATAAATATCATTCCAATTCAGTAATCCACCTTCATCCAAAAACTTTTCCCGGTCGAAGTTACGAAATGAACGAAACCGTTTGATAGTTGGGGTAGTATGTACTTTCTGAGTTTTAACATCAACGAAGATCAGAGAATGGTCACTAAGTCCCATTGAAACAACATCGTGATTGAAGTTGTTTTTCTCCAAAGGCAGTAAAATCAAATCAATACATGTTCTACTCGTATTTGTAATTCTGGTTGGTTCGCTAATAATTTGCTTTAATTGCAGATAGGTGCACATATTTTTCAATTTGGATGAAAGTGGGTTAATAGTAAGCATATTACAATTGAAATCTCCAAGAACAATAATATTCGAATTAGAATGTAAAGCTTTCTCCAACTGAAGTTCTGCTTTAGAAAAGAAATCAGTAGATGAATTTGGAGGCCTGTAAACTATAGCTATTAGATATAATTGTGAGTGTTTTAATCTCACTTCGAACCATAATATCTCAAGATCTTCTTGCTCTAGATCTTTCCTGCGATTATATATCAAATTTGAGTTAATATAACAAGCAACGCCTCCACCAGATGTATTTCTATCATTCCTTTCTACATTGGAACCACCTATATATAGTTCAGAATCTTGGATTGAATCATCTATCCAAGTTTCAGATAAACCAAGTATATCAAAGGGGTTATTATACAACATATCTTTTACATGGTCAAACTTCCCCCTTATGCTACGAATATTCAAATGGGCTACAGTGAAACTTTTTCTATTTAATTCCAATATTCTTGATGTTGGAATTTTATCTAAATGAATATTATTTGGGTTATCGTTAATCTGAAAATTACACGTCTCTTCAAAATCATCTGAATTAAACGGCAGTTCTTTAAACAAACAAATATCGCATATCCAGTCAGCATCTGACTTAAAAAAGTTATTATCTAGAGATGAACACTTTAGATGGATCCACTTTTTACAGAGATGGCATAATACTGCATTTTGATTATTATAAACTGATTTCAAACATGATATACAAGAATATTTCTTACCCATTGGAAAGATCTGCTGAGTTTTGTAAAATGCGGAAAAGTTTATAGGGTTTCAATATCATTATCACAACGAATTGTTACTTTCCGGTCATCTTTCGTGAGGGCTGTGATTCGGCCGTCTGAGGTCCATGTTTTCTGTACGTTGTCATGTTTTCTTGCTTTGTACAACAGATGAGATCGTTTTGCTGTTAGGTCTTCGTGGATATAGATCTTGGTAGGGCGAAGCTTCGCTCGAGTGCGGTAAACCTGGTCCCTGGCGTTGTATCTTGCAAACTTTACTATGATGACTCTGGGAGAGGTATCACCTTCTTTGGTGTCTCGTGGCGTTATCCGATGAGATCGGGCACTAATATAGCACATCGACACGGTTTTGATCCTTGGGCCTCACAGTTATGAGGCCATTGTTTTGTCACTGAACCTTGACTGTACGCAGCGGGGCTAGGGTAGGGGGCAGTTTCCATAAATATAAAAAACACAGAAAATGCAATAAATTTGCAATAATCTATTGCATTTTTCACCGGTCCCCAACATACAAAAAAATCATCTGGACGGCCATGCATTATGGCTCAAGGCATGGGCACACAGAGGATTTGTTTATGTTGGAAACTGGGGTAAAATGTAATAAATAACTAAAAATGTATTGCATTTTCTTTGTGTTTTTTTATTTATGGAAACTGTCCCCTACCCTAGCCCCCGATGCGTACAGTCATGGTTCAGTGACAAAGCAATGGCCTCGTAACTGTGAGGCCCCGGGATCAAAACCGTGTCGATGTGCTATATTAGTGCCCTTTTGTGGGGCATTAATCTTCATTACTGTCATTTATGACTTAAGGGCGTAGGTCCCCTAGTTGATAAGCATAGTAGCATACACATGCTTTAGCAGTCACGCAAAACACATATTCTCAAATTATTATTCAATAAAATCTGAGAATGTATACTATCATCTAGATCTATTATTTTTAAATTATTTTTAAAATAATTCCATAAATTGGGGTAAAACAAAAATATTCCAACTATATGAGCGACAGTGTACTTTAAACCATATTTAAAGCATACAGTTTGCGAACTCCAGCCAAATTTTGTACCCAAATGTTGTCTGGAGTTCGTGCGACATGCACAAATGTGTCGTACGTACCAATTTAGTGCGATTCCAAGTGAAAATTGTTGCTATTTCTAGTATTTTCGCTAAATGTTGTGTCTGAAACAAGTTGCAAGCTGTTGCAGCCCAATGTGATACTAGCTCTACATCCATTCCTTGTGCGATGTCACTTATTGCGTGTCAAAGGTCACGCGTGTCGTTGACGCAGTCCGGGGTCATACACAGTCGCGTACGCAGGATTTTTTCAAGGGGGGGGTTTTAACATTTATAAATCGGGCCGAAAATTTCGCAACGACTCAGCCAGCCGCTGAATAAGCGGGGGGGGGGGGGGGGGGGGGTAAGAGGACACTTTTTTTTCTTTTTTTTTTGTCTCGAAATTTGAAAATTTGACATTTTGCTCCGTTGGGGGGGGGGGGGGTAAGGTCACCTTTTTTAGGTCAACTATGGGAGTATTTTTTTTTTTTTTTTTTTTTTTTTTTGGGGGGGGGGGGTTTACACACATAAAATACCAAAGGGGGGGTTTAACCCCCACCCCCCCCCCCCCCCCCCCCCCCTGCGTACGCGCCTGGTCATACATGACGCCTCACGTGCAAACTGAATAACTACTTTCGAACTCCAGATGACATATCTACGTATTCCAATTTCTCTGGATCATCGATGTCAGAGTAAACCCCTTCTTGGATGTTGCTGATCCCCATTCCTCTGAAGCCCTGGTAGGCATGTTGCCTGACTGCACTCGGTTGAGGCAGCTCGTAATCATGGTTCTGTGGATCGCCTGCTCCTCCTGGGTCAACACGTACACGAGTCATGTCCTCCTTCTTCTGCTTCCGCTTGCTGCATGGTTGATTTAGAAATGACAGACAGAAATAGTTGTTAATCATCATTATCATTATCATCATCATCTTCGTAATTACCACCATTAGTGCTATTACTTTTAATATCATATTCGGAATTTTCAAATACTATGAGCAGGGAGGTGTTTACATACCCTGCTATAAGTGTAAAAAAAACAGGTTTAAGAAAATTGTAATTTTAAGGTCTTTGAGGAATACAAGAATGGTATTTTACTTCATAATTATTATGCAGATATTCGGGTTTATGATAATATGATACTTGTTACTCTTTTACCTAAAAATGTCTTTTTGCAATGCAGACTGCATGTACAAGAGCATTAGATTGGAAACAACTCTGTTGTATAAACTAGTTAACAGTAGGAATTAAAACGATTTCAATTTTTTTTTAATATTTCAAATCCACGTTCTGCATTTAAAACATTTTCGAAAAGGGCATTACTCTTATGCGAGAAAATAAAATGGATTTCATTCTTACCATAAAATCACCATGGCAATAGCAAGTATGATGTTTCCCAAGAATGATATCACCAATAAAACCATCATCCACACAGCAGTATTTTCCTTTAGGTGCCGACTCTCTGCAACATTGAACAGATAAGCGTTAATCACCTAGATTCATCAGCTCATTGCCTATTGCAGAATAGACCTATTGCTAAAACAAAGAATGCTATAAATGTTTATAGAGACATTTTATATTTTGATATCACTGGCCCTAAGTCCTTTTGGTTCCCTTTGTCATAGATCCTAGGCTGCGCATAATCGCAATGTAGGATAGTGCTTGGACCTGATTAAGAAGTTTTGTTAGTTGATCTAGGACAATTCCATGATTGTCATTAGGGCGAGGGTAATTGTAGGAGCATTGCGTCATCGTAGTCAATAATTATTAAAGGATCCGACATTTTTACTCGACGAAATTATTTAACCCTAAAAAGGCCGGGCTATTTGAGGTCCTAGTACGGCAATTTGTTTTCCCCTACGAACTGTGACTTTTTATCAGCCTCCCCTTAATAGCTCGGCCGTGAAGCGGCCGATCTCCGCGAAAATTTGCACGCATGTCAAGTGAAATGTATAAAATAATATGATAATTTCAATTTTTTGAAAAATTTACTTATTTGCATATTTATGGTAATTTATGCAAATAAGGTCATGAAATCACATTTTCACCCATAAATCATATATTATTCATATTTAAGCATTCTTTTTTCACTACATATATTCATTAGACCATTTGGAATAAAAATACGACAAAAAAATTTGGAAGAGCCAGCTTATTCCTTATGTTATCTCTTGTTTTGATAATTTCTTATGTATTTCATTGTTTTTTTAATTTATGCATTTTATTGTTTTTGTTGTTTTATTTCATTTCTTACTACAATTCAACTATATTGACTCCCAAAACAACCACCTAAACTTTAAACAAGACCCAATAACCAATTTTTTAAGAAAAATGACATTTCAATATGTTTTGTACACAAATCACAAAAATGAGCGATTTTAGGGCTGACATGCAAAGACAAAAGGTCATGTGACCTTGTAACTGTAGGTCCAATTTCAACAATTTTTTTTTAAAGATGCGCAAGACTCGAAAGAAAAAAGTCGGCGAGCGGCGGGGCGCCATTCATATGCGTTCCCGAGCAATCGGGATAATCGTGGAGGGGGGGGGGGCATAATGGCCCCGGCCTTATTAGGGTTAAAAGGTCCTCCTAGCCTCCAACAGGGCCATCGACAAGAGGCTACCCGCCTCCCTACTCCGGCTCCTCGCTCAGTGCAAGAGGGGGGGGGGGCGGTTGTAGCCGCGCCTGGTTGTAGGGGCAATAGTGTAAGGGTAAGAGTCGGGATAAGACTAATGGCTATTGTCAATTGGACGCACGACCGACTGCCATATCCGCTTACCGACATAGGACTATTGAGGCTAAGACTATTACATTTTTAGCTGATAGTTGGATGTTTCTGTTGGTCCAATTAATCCAATCACCACTCACCGAGGGTAGGAGTCGTAACAGTCACAAGTGGACTTCTTGGTCCTTCTCCGCCGAGACCTTCTCGGACGGCAGATACACTAACATTGTATTCTGTTCCTAGTTCCAACTCAGTCAATACAAATTCCATTATTCGTTGAAGATCGCCCTCTCCCGCACTCGAGTCGATGCTACCAACCACTGTCCATTCCTCTTCCTTAGTTTGCTGATAGATAAGGTAACCAACAACTGGTCCGTCGCCGGAGTCCAGAAAAGGTATCCAAGAGCTCCAGGAGACAGTGACTGATGATGACGTGCTGATCTCTCCGACAGTTGGGCCGGATGGTAGCTCTGGTAAAGCTGGAAATGATAAAGCTATCAAGTTAATATGTGTAAAGTACCTATATGTTATGAGAAAAACACACCAGCAAAGAAACCAACAAATAAAACAAGTTAAAATATACTCAATCTGTAATAAAAAATCTTAGGGCCTATTCTAAATTGACTTATTGAAGCTGCAAATACGTTGCATTCTTAAGTAGGTATTTCGGATAATGTTCATGCATATTCATTGTGTATGTTGTTATTCACTATTTACATTTAATATACAAAATCACTAAATCAGTTTAAATATGGTAAGAATTGGTTTGAACTAAATATTACCGTAAAAATCTAAGACAGGAGAAAAAGTAGCCAGTGAAAATGATCCATCTTTGTCCGGCAGTTCACCTGCGTAGCAGAAGATTCGGTCATCTTCGTTCACATTGTCAAGAAGGAAACTATTATTACGGAATTCACCGTCAAGATTCGTTGATGAGAAGGAAATCGGTTTCGACGAGGAGAGATTTTGACCAATGGATATCGTGACGTTATCAGGAGACAGCGTTTCTCCTTCGATTTCGACGTCGACAGCGCAGTAGACATTAGCGAAACCGGGATTAGTTCGAGGGGTCGTGAGATGGAAATTATCTGTAGGATGAGATACAAGAAAGAATGGGAGTGGTAGAAAGGCAATAAAATACCAAATCTAGCAACATATATATGACAGTAAATGACAACATTTTCATAAGGACCACTCTAACCCAACTAACATAGCCTTTCAAAACATGAATACACCTCTATTTATTAATGTGCCAGCCTCCGATTTGTCTGAAAATATCTATATTGACGAACAAATGATAATAACCATCCATTTTTCACAGATCTCACGCTTGCTGGGCTACGCCCCTCAAAAAAGGTAATACTGTCACGTGGCTTGATGATGCATTTGACGTCTCTGCGGGAATGTCCTTGTATTTGTCTTCAGGATCTTACAATCACATAGTAATTCATAATTAGGCATGACGAAATGGCCAGAAACATTCTATGGTTATCAAGTGCCTATTAGTTTTTCGGATAAATGTCTCTTTTTTTAATTAATATTATAGTTCGCCCTTTTACCGAGAAGTCGCAAGCAGACGCTTTTTGCTTAGACTCGTACCACAGTTTTGCGTGCACGTTCTTGTCAGTCTGACGTCAGTTTCCTTTAGAGCACAAACTATCAAACGAGTGGGCAAAGAGTCTACGGTGTTTATTTTTATCATTATTATGTTTTTGGCATTCGTGCTTTTAGACACTTGCGGCTTAGTTTCGTTTTTTCAATGCTATGGCTGGAATCTACCGATACTATCAAGCATAGGCGCCGGAAGTGGGGGGGGGGGGGGCAATTGCCCCCCCCCCAAACAAAAAAGTGGGAGGGGGGGCAAAACGCATTTTTGCCACCCCAAAACGCCCCCCCTCCAAAAAAAAAAAAAAAGCAGTAAAGGAGTAAACATGGTTTGTATTTTTAACCCCAAAGAACATAAGATTAACAAAAAGCTGAATTAAAACACATATACAATTCCATTCAAAGAAAAGGAAAGTTCACAGGAATTTAATTTCATAAACATTGCGCATGCCACCTATACGGTATGTATCAATGTAGGTCTTTATAATAGCGATACGCGCATATCGTGGACATATTGTGCGAGAATGGGAAAACGTGTCTGTTTTTTTGTTATAGGGGTGAGAAGACATGAGCCCCTGAACGCTGGCGTACTGAGAGGGGGGGGGGGTGTATTTCTTATTCGATACCAGTGACTTACAAAATTAAAGTTACTGTTATGACATGATTTTCCGGTATTTGTTTTGTAATTAATACCTTTTTATGCGTTTGTTGGAAAATAAGAAATTCCCAAATTACAGTCGGGCGAAAAAATACGCTTATTTAGAAGCCTTTATGTCATGGTCTGCAAAGTGGCTGGGCTCGAGCCCCCCCCCCCCCCCCCCCTCCCCCTCCCCCCTCACTTTTTGAAAAAGTATGTGAAAGAGAAAAAGAAAGAAAGACGGAGAGAAAAAATAAGTGACCTGCCAATGTCACAAATAAGGTATAAAAAATGCTCATCTGACCGTAATTAAATGCCTCAAACCCCAGAGCTTACGGGGGGCTCCGCCCCCGAGCCCCACCAAGTGCCCTAAGGCGGTCCCCTGGATGCTCATCTGACCGTAATTAAATACCTAAAACCCCTGAGCTTCCGGGGGCTCTGCCCCCTGGATGCTCATCTGACCGTAATTAAATACCTAAAAACCCCGAGCTTCCGGGGGTTATGCCCCCTGGAACCCCACCAAGGGCCCTAAGGCGGGCCCCTGGATGCTCAACTGACCGTAATTAAATACCCAAAACCGCTGAGCTTCCGGGGGCTCTGCCCCCTGGACCCCACCAAGGGCCCTAAGGCGGGCCCCTGGATGCTCATCTGACCGTAATTAAATACCCAAAACCCCTGAGATTCCGGGGGCTCTGCCCCCTGGACCCCACCAAGGGCCCTAAGGCGGGCCCCTGGATGCTCATCTGACCGTAATTAAATACCCAAAACCCCTGAGCTTCCGGGGGCTATGCCCCCTGGACCCCACCTAGGGCCCTAAGGCGGCCCCTGGATGCTCATCTGACCGTAATTAAATACCTAAAACCCCTGAGATTCCGGGGGCTCTGCCCCCTGGACCCCACCAAGGGCCCTAAGGCGGGCCCCTGGATGCTCATCTGACCGTAATTAAATACCCAAAACCCCTGAGCTTCCGGGGGCTCTGCCCCCTGGACCCCACCTAGGGCCCTAAGGCGGGCCCCTGGATGCTCATCTGACCGTAATTAAATACCCAAAACCCCTGAGCTTCCGGGGGCTCTGCCCCCTGGACCCCACCTAGGGCCCTAAGGCGGCCCCTGGATGGTCATCTGACCGTAATTAAATACTTAAAACCCCTGAGATTCCGGGGGCTCTGCCCCCTGGACCCCACCAAGTGCCCTAAGGCGGTCCCCTGGATGCTCATCTGACCGTAATTAAATACCTAAAACCCCTGAGCTTCCGGGGGCTCTGCCCCCTGGATGCTCATCTGACCGTAATTAAATACCTAAAAACCCCGAGCTTCCGGGGGTTATGCCCCCTGGAACCCCACCAAGGGCCCTAAGGCGGGCCCCTGGATGCTCAACTGACCGTAATTAAATACCCAAAACCGCTGAGCTTCCGGGGGCTCTGCCCCCTGGACCCCACCAAGGGCCCTAAGGCGGGCCCCTGGATGCTCATCTGACCGTAATTAAATACCCAAAACCCCTGAGATTCCGGGGGCTCTGCCCCCTGGACCCCACCAAGGGCCCTAAGGCGGGCCCCTGGATGCTCATCTGACCGTAATTAAATACCCAAAACCCCTGAGCTTCCGGGGGCTATGCCCCTGGACCCCACCTAGGGCCCTAAGGCGGCCCCTGGATGCTCATCTGACCGTAATTAAATACCTAAAACCCCTGAGATTCCGGGGGCTCTGCCCCCTGGACCCCACCAAGGGCCCTAAGGCGGGCCCCTGGATGCTCATCTGACCGTAATTAAATACCCAAAACCCCTGAGCTTCCGGGGCTCTGCCCCCTGGACCCCACCTAGGGCCCTAAGGCGGGCCCCTGGATGCTCATCTGACCGTAATTAAATACCCAAAACCCCTGAGCTTCCGGGGGCTCTGCCCCCTGGACCCCACCTAGGGCCCTAAGGCGGCCCCTGGATGGTCATCTGACCGTAATTAAATACTTAAAACCCCTGAGATTCCGGGGGCTCTGCCCCCTGGACCCTACCAAGGGCCCTAAGGCGGGCCCCTGGATGCTCATCTGACCGTAATTAAATACCCAAAACCCCTGAGCTTCCGGGGGCTCTGCCCCTGGACCCCACCTAGGGCCCTAAGGCGGCCCCTGGATGCTCATCTGACCGTAATTAAATACCCAAAACCCCTGAGCTTCCGGGGCTCTGCTCCCTGGACCCCACCTAGGGCCCTAAGGCGGCCCCTGGATGCTCATCTGACCGTAATAAAATACCCAAAATCCCTGAGCTTCCGGGGGCTCTGCCCCCTGGACCCCACCTAGGGCCCTAAGGCGGCCCCTGGATGCCCATCTGACCGTAATTAAATACCTAAAACCCCTGAGATTCCGGGGGCTCTGCCCCCTGGACCCCACCAAGGGCTCTAAGGCAGCCCCTGGATGCTCACCTGACCGTCACGGTATAGCTTCTGGGGGCTCTCCCCCTTCCCCTGGATCACGTCAATGGCCTTAAAGAGGGACCCTGGGTGCTCATCTAACCGTAATTAAATACCTAAAATCTCAGAGCTTCCAGGGGCTCAGCCCCTTGACTCCCTGCCGAGGCTCACGCCCTGGACCCCACGCCAATTTACGCTCTACCTGATCGTTAATACTCCACTTTGAAAAACACTCCGCGGGACCTGTATGTAACGTGTAAGACTGGTGGTGATGCAGATTTTTCTTCTGTTCCCCCCTCCCCTTCCGAACGTTTTTTCTCATTACGTCAATGCCCCTGGAAGATGAGCCCCCTGGAATGTTTGCCCCCCCCCCCCCCCAATCCCAAACTGCTTCCGGCGCGCCTGCTATCAAGCCACCAAGAAAGGATTGGGATGCAGAAAAAGAGGAGAAAACTGAAGACTGCAGCTGAGAAAAGGTAAAATTGAGGGTGATTTTCCACTTAAAATACTAAATTGTTAGGACTCAAGATCAAGAGTTTCAGTTTAAACCGCTCGTTGTCACTCCGATATGCACGATGCACTTCCAATTTCACCGTACGTACGTGCGCATGAACGCATTAGGGACTTTTAGATTTGCACGAAGACTATGTGGATTGCTACGGTCGACGTCCTTTTACTGCACTGCCTTGAATGGACGTCACAAGTATCAGTCCACGCAAATCTAAAAGTCCATATTGACTCTACTGACCTCTACCGCGTGCGAGCCACAGAACTCTAAAATTTTAGTTCTGTGGTGCGAGCCCACTTCAAGCATTAGCACGGGCGGGAATGGGCGATGATCCGTCCAGGTGGTAGAGGTTATGGCGCGCCGTTTGACCAATAACTCAGATAAACATTGTTTATCACCGATAAACACTGTTTATCGAGCGATAAACACTGTTTATCGGCTATAAACATTGTTTATCGACCGATAAACACTTTTTATCAATAAACATATTTCGCCGGGAGTAGGCGCTTTTCCAAGTTGCACTCAAAGAGATTTGATCATACATAGTATGTCCTCCGAATGAGGACTAGAGGGGCAACTGAATTGTTAACTTTGACATTCCATAGGTTTTGCATGGGATGCACTATTATTTGTGCCATTTGAACAATATTGGAGGGTCAATGTTTATTCATGAGCAATGACTTACAAAATATGCCAATTACTCTTTGTTGATTGGCCATCAGCAGCATTTGTTTACAATAATGATAATGTTAATTATAATGATGATAGCTGATAACAACAACAATAATGATAATATTACTACTAACAACAATAATGTCATGTTAAAAACGACCTATGGGCCTCCCCCATCTCCTCTCTATTGTAGAACATATTTGCATAAACTTTTGCCCTGCTTATTCTCTTAATATATTTCCTCCTTCTTCCTCATTAGGAAAGATGATCAAATCTATCTCGCTGCTGCCAGATCTAAAAAAATTACAAGGTCGGACACCAATTATTCAATCATACATAAGACTGCACCAGCATCATCACACCTCAGTCATACATCATTATGATTACAGAGTGCCATCATAATTACCACCATCATCACATATCTTTCACAAAGTAAGAAAATGAAAAGAAACGAATTAAGCAGCAGTACTAAGCCTTTTTATCAACATTGATGAACTCATTTATCAACAATTTTTTCCTATAATGACCTTTTTAAATGCAACATAACATTATATTAAATCGAGACAAGGAAAATAACGCATGAATGGGGGAGGGGGGGATGCTGCTTTTCTTAATAAATTTAGAAATTTGAATATTTTAGAATAAAATCCATATGATTAATTCAATTATCAACATGCTTTAGAAAGCACAGGTATTTACTGAGTTTTTACGAGTACTTGTTATCATGACATTATTGTTTTTTTTATAAATGTAATGCTTCCTGGGATAAAATTTCAATAGTTTGAACATATTTGTGGCTTACAAGATATTACATACATATTTGCTGGTTCCAAGATTTTTTCTGACTTGTTTTTCAATTACAGATCGATCAATCGATCTCATTTACTGGGTGTAAGCCACACATATGTTCAAACGACATTATTGTTGTTATTAATACTATTACTTTATACCATTATTATTGTTGTTCATCAGATTTTATCATTATAATTATCCATAATGTATCGTTATTAGAACTGTAAAACATTTTGTTGAATCTACAAACAGTACTAGGCGTCTTTAGGCGTTGCTCATGAATAAACATTGACCTCCAAAATCGTTCAAAAAATAATGCATCCCGATCCCATGCAAACCTATAGAATGTCAAAGGTCACAATTTAGCTGCCCCTCTAGTCCTGCTCCGGAGGACATACTATATGTATGATTGAATCTCTTTGAGTGCAACTTGGAAAAGCATCCACTCCCGACCAAATACAAATAACTCTGCTTTTCGATAAACAGTGTTTATCGAATATTGATAAATGTGATTTGACTCACAAATTCCTTTCTGGCAAATCAAGTTTTCGTCAGCTGTACAGTTGAAATCGTTCCATTTTCCATGTCTGTTTCTTATTGCGCTCGACAATAGGCAAGCACAATTTTCATCTCCAGGATCTGCATCATTGTTCGGTTCCTCTTGCGCCCAACCATCGTATCTAATATAAAACAAAGAAAAAAATGCATGACAATTGCAATAACAATGAAATACCCAGGCTTGAGCTAATACTATTAATGGTTTTGTAGACTATTCACCCTGTGCATAAGGTACCTTTGAATGGTTTTAGACCAAATTCAAAGGTATCGCGCGCACACAATTCCACCGACCAACGAATGAAATCTGTGCATCATCTGTTTTTATAAAATGGGGCCCCCAAAATCGTCAAATATACAAAAATCCGTTATTTTGGAGATTTACCGGGTGCATGGCAAATCATGTTTTCCGGTAATTACCGGACGCATGGTTTTGCCATAGCCATGCTTTCCGGTAATTACCGAAAAGCATGATTTCATGCAACTTGTCATGACATTAAAAAAAAAAAAAAAAAGTTGTCAGTCGCACATAAAACTGTAAACTCTAAAAAAAAAATATTAAACAAAAATGTTTTTTTTAATTATAGAAAAAAAAATTATCAAAAAATTATCAAACTTATCAAAAAACAAGGAAAACAAATAATTATAACTATTTCAACAACAAAAAAAATCCCCCCAAAATAAAAAAAAATATAAGAATTATTAAAAACCAAGGGATATCGGTGGTATCGATCCCCGATCCAGTAAAAATAACTCTACTGTAATCAGATTGCAAGGATTCTTCTTCCCATCTTATAATGCCGGTTAAATAATAGTTTATAGGACATAAATAACAATAAAATCATAACCGTTTTAACGATTTTTGAAAGTTTTGTGTTTGATGGTATTTTAATTGAGATCAATCTAGAAACGTATGATAGCCTATGTTATGTTTTACTCCATCATTGAGTTATTAATGTAAATATGTATTGCTATTATGGAAATAAAAACCTCACTTGAGGATAAGAGAAAAAATAATCTAGAAACGTGCATTCCTCATTAATTCTGACATATTCTGACAAATTCATTGTTACACATACATGTAGATATCCAATGTCTAATGACCAATAATTGTCAAACGACATGAATTAGTCCTACCAATTTATTCAAAGAAATGCACTTATTTTATTGTCGAAATCGTGATAATAATGCTTACTTCACAAGTGTGCCATCCAGCCATCTGTATTTTTTTCTTCCTCTCTGTCATTGCAACCAATCCAAAAGCACCAATTATCTCCTGTATTCAAGGGCGGAGGGATGAAGGGCGTCAAGAAATTCTACATTGATATTGAAAAATATAAAAAACATACGACTTAATTTCCATTCCTAAGACACATTATCTGGAATAAAATTCACCAAGAAAAGTTATATTGGACTGAGAAAACATGGTATTGATAAGAAAACATTTAACAAAAGTTTTTCTATTAAATGTATATTACTCCTTGGACATGATGCGTCTTTGTTGACGTTAGATTGCGTAATCGATTGGCACAGTGTTTGGACTTCCTGTGAGCAGGGGCGTAGACAACGGGGGGGGGGGTGAGGGGGATGCATCCCCCCCCCCACCTCACAAGGTGGGGGGGATGGCATGTACAATCATCCCCCCCCCCCCCCCAGGTTTTGGGGAATGATATTTGCTTACTTAATAAGTCATAATGATGATAATAATAGTAATAATAATAATGATAACAATTATAATATTAATAATAATAATATTTTATGAGGATGATAATAATAATCCTCATCATTATTGTAATTGTGTTTATTGTTATTAGCCGCATTCACACGGTGAAAGCCAATTCAGACGGTAAAAAAAAGAAAATCTTACAAGTATTTTGTGGTTATCTTGTGGTTTGGAAACCACAAGATAACCACAAGATTAAACAGGCGCGGATCTACGGGGGGGGGGGGGGGTGCGAACCTGTCTACGCCACTGCCTGTGAGAGTGACGTTCAAGGAGTAAAATCGTGCAAAGATGACATTATATTACTCGCCCATACATAAAAAAGAAAGAAAAAGAAAGCACGCTGGAGAGAAACCCTTTCAAGTGCAAATATTGTGAGAAGATATTCAACTCATCTGGTAACTTAACCAAACACATGATAACTCTGGATATAACTGTGTATTTAACTGTTACTTGATTTAAAAAGACGTTATCATGCACTGCTTTTTTTGGTCTCCATTGTGTTAATAGATGCCAGGAAAACATCACTTACGGGGTTCAAATAAACACCCCCCAAAAAAAAAGGATCGCCGCTTCGCGGCTCGTGGACGACGCTCCGCATCGTCATTATTTTGGTCAACCCCCCCCCCTTAGCAAAAAGCTAGATCCGCCCCTGAGTCATCCCCCCCAGGTGTACGAACCTGTCTACGCCACTGCCTGTGAGAGTGACGTTCAAGGAGTAAAATCGTGCAAAGATGACATTATATTACTCGCCCATACACTATCTGCCTTCATAGGCTCTTTCAGCGTAGGTAATGACGCAATTCATATTGCGCAATCCTCGTATGTAATAGACATTATATACCTCACTTAAGAAATCCAGCCATCTGATCGGTCGAAATTGCATTCATAAACTTTAACTATTCCTGTAAAATTCCCGGTAAAATTCCAAACCCATGTAATAGTTCTAAAAAATAGTTCTAAAATCCCGGCAAAAGTGAGTACACGTTCTAAGTCAATGGCGATATCGCGGAAACAACGTGGTCAGGTTTTGCGCATTCAGCTAGCAACATGCGTACGCGATGCATACGCATGCATATTGCGCGAGCTGTTTGGCTAAATTCAGCAAAACAACATCACTATGCGTTTACGTCTTTTTCGTCGAGTCCGATCAAAATGATATGAATATTGCAGAGTTTTGAAAGGGCTGTATCTTTTGATAGAAACATCGGTGAGTCTTGAAATTTGAAATATATTATAATTATTACACTGTTTATTCACATATTTTAAAAAAATGGTGAAAAATGATACCAAATTGAAGATTGAAAAATCGTCAAGACACCCTATCTATAGACCTACTCTCAAAGATACACTCATAAAAAACAACCGTGCAGATAAACTAGAGAAAGGCCAAGGTGGTGTCATAAGTTGACTTTTTTTTCGGCATATAAAAGTATTGATGACTGCTTTAATATTCGAGAAATAGTTGTTTTTATACGCTCTCGGGAAGGTTACAATTGGGCTATTGCCCTCGGCACGCCTCGGGCAATAGCACAATTGTAACCTTCCCTTGAGCGTATAAAAACAACTATTTCTCTCAAAGCAGTCATTAATACTATATTACCGCAAGCCCCAGTAACAAGGCAATTATTAACAGGGCACCGTTCATTTTGCATTTATTTTTTACTATAATTCTCACCCTGTCATGTTGCGTCAAAGACTGTGTCACAGTGTAAGTCGCCGACACTCTATTTCTACGTCAGCAAGTGACGCTTCCAGAGCAACACTGTTGCTCTGGAAGCAGATGTTAAATGAAAAAACATGAACACAACCTAGACCAAGTTAAAACTGTATATCTATCGCGCAACAAGCGAAACAAATTATTGTGATTATTAGCTGACCATTATTTGAATCGTTTTTGTACCTGGATCTCGTCTGAGTCAATCCTTGCTAGATTCGCTCCATAACCTTGGCAGAGAGCCTGCGCCTGATCGTAGCCTCTTAGGGAGATGTTATCCACTAGATAGACTGCGTCATCCAGTCGGTGCCATTCTGGCTGACTTGTTACTGAATAAAGATATGAAAGTGACAGTTTCGAAATTATAAGGCGGCTTATTCCTCCGAGCAGCGGAATGTTGAAACAGCAGATATAGTTAACAGCACCCCACGGTAGGTCAAATTGTAACTGATTTCCCCCCTTTTTTTAACAGGGCGCTGAAGGGTGGCTTTTCACGAAAATAAGGTCTTTACATTCTGGGTGCCCTTTCACTCCACACTTAGTAGAAAGCTCACGGTGCAAGTGCAGGTGCAGTAGCACCCCAGCACCATCCAATACAGGGGATGTAGTGCACCCCCCCCCCCCCGAAAAACAAAAAAAATGAGGGAGGGTGCTGCAGCGTCCCCAGCACCCCCGTTTCCCAAGATGAATAAAGATAATTAAACTGAGAATTAAGAGAACAAATGCACGTAACAGTGGATACATTAAGGTTTGTAACATGGTATTCGGGCTGTCTTTTAAAGGTACTATGTCCCTTTTGCAGCCAACCTCAAATGCTGTAGAACTTTGCAGGAATTATGAATATGTCATGTATGTCCTATCTGTGAAATTTAAACGTTAGCAGTGTCCTCATATTCAAATTATGCAAGGAAACCCGTTTACTTGCTAGACTTCACTGTCAGACTCTATTGAGTGACTGACTGGCTTTTTTCTTCTTTGGTAATAACATACATGAAAAGAGTTGTAAAGGGTACATGAGCATTTGTCTACATCAATAACCCACTTCTTGTGATGGCCAAGATTAAACTGATTGAATCTTTGCGCAGCATAAAACGTATGACCATTCGGTACAATTGTCTGAAAATCAAGACTATTACTTTTGGGCTCTATAGCCCTAAAGTCGATTTGACAACTAATAGTCGTTATTTTCCCACTTGAAGACATTTTCAAGCCCCACTTTTTTTAGGGAAGTTCTAAATTAGTATTATCTTTCAAATGCCGTTGGAATTTAAATTTTTCATTTTTTGGCCTGCAAATGGGACATAGTACCTTTAAAAGTACCCTGAAACTATCCAATCGTTCTTGAATAACATTTCACAAGTAATAAGCAAAGTACACAAAACAAATTAAAACAGAAATAAAATGCGATGAGTTTTTATGACGACCATGAATATATGTCTAAGTATACTTACCCCCTTGTAAAGACACGATGGCTGCAATGGCGATAGTAACGAACACTGTCTCCTCGGAGGCGAACTTCATGTTAAGTTAACAAATTGATGGGAGTTGATGTCAGTAACAGATGCTATTCGTTTATGATTGTATTTCAAAATGTATGTACATGTACATAGACTGAAAGAGAAATGATCGTTGCCGTGTCTCGCGCTGAAATGACCTCAATCAAACTTGGAACCTTCTGTT